GAGAATGCTAGCAACTTCACTCCCGACTCTACTTCATTATTATATCGTCGGCTGACGGGAAAGGGCCACTGCTAAAACACATCGCCAGAAAAACATCGATATATCGATGGTTTTCGATGTTTCACAATTTGTTAGGTTGTAGTTACATTAAAAGGAAAATTTAAAACTTTTCAATTACAACTCTCCGTAATTCAATTAGAAAAATACTTACATATAATGTATTTCCCTGTATTTATTTACCATTCCTAGACTCTTCCTATAAATAGAATAAAAATGCATACCCTAGTAATTCGCTGAGACTAAAAATCCAAGGACCAACTTCGTGGAAATTTTAACGGGAACCCGGCTCTTTTTTAATCATTAAGTAAGCATTTTATCGAAAGATACGAGAAAACTCGGAATTTCTGAATGTTCTCCAAAAGAATAAGTAATAAAAATTCATGGCCAGTCAAAAAAATTTAGGAGCATAATGGGTAAGTTGAATTCAAGTCTGAGTCACACTAAAGTCGATGTTAAAACATCGTTGAAACTGGCATCGATGTATCTTCGATTTAGCGATTTTAGGCAATTGTAAACATCGATGGCAAATATCGAATTTTGAACCGATATTACCGATATTTCAAAAATATCGATGCATCGTTTGCATCCCTATTCAAACAGACATTTTTTTTAAACTACTGTAAAACTCTTCAAAGCGTTCTCAAAGGGTTAAGTTTAATGTGAAAATAGTTTTAATAATTTCGAAAATGGATTACACAAATTTAGCATCACATGCATAAAAAAATGCTCTCGAATCACTTCCACCAATTAAAAAAAAATATATTTAGAAATAAACCAAAAGTTTGGTTTATGGTCCTTTAACAAAATAGAACACAAAAAATAATTTGAAAAAATTTACATGCATAAGAAATGCACTCCAGTACCATCTTTAACAAAAACAGAATACAAAAAAATACGTGCAACAGCTTTACGAGCTTCCTGCTGCTCGTAAGCCAATGAAGAACGTGAGTTAATCTAGTATCATTTTCATATGAAAAATTGTATGTATTATGTACAACACGAAAATGGGTTCAGCACTATTTTTATGTCCGCTTGCATCAAACAAATTTATATTTTTCAACAGTGCAGAGCTGCATGCTTAACAAATAAATGAAAGTATTTCCGCTTCCTGCAGTATTTTTGTATACGATTGCATGATTAAATGTGCCTTAGGGTAGTCCTTAAAATCAAATGAACAAGGTTTTTCATTCTCATTCTTTACAATCGGTAATACCACGGTCACAGATATCACATATAAATTTTGGTCCAGATTGGAGTCGGTTAAGGCGTGTCACACAGGGGGCAAACTGCAGATTCCTCTATAGAGACTCAAAAAATTAAAATTATTAATTTTTTTTTATCTAACACCCAAAATCGATACTACCATAGTCGAAGATATCACATATACATTTTGGTCCCGATTGGAGTGGGTTAAGGGCATGTCGCAAAGGGGCCAAATACCGGGTGCCTATACGGACCCATAATTAAAATCTTTTTTTTTCATTTAATACCCAAAATCGATCCTACTAAAGTCGACGATATCACATATAAAGTTTGGTCCCGATTGGAGTCGGTTAAGACGTTTTCATAGGGTAATCTGGACTTTGACCTCTGTGCGACACGCCTTAACCGTCTCCAATCGGGACCAAAATTTATATGTGATATTTTCGATTATAGTAGCCTCGACGTAGAGGTTGAGGCTTAGGAAATCTGATGTAAAAATTTGCTTCCTACATTTAAGGACCACCCGAATGTACATATGCATCAAAAATACATACATATGTCCGCAAGAATTTTTGTCCTTCAAACATTTTTGTGTCTCGATGTGCTTTTCCTTTTTAAAATTTTGTATGCATATTTGAAATTATGTACTGTCGACCGTCAGGCCATTTACGAATGAATATACATACGTATGTCTATATACAGCAGTTTTTTGACATAAACCACACTTTTATTTACTTAAACATTTTGGTGCACAAAGAGGTCGCAAAAAAATGCAAGCTACTGCATTTCAAAATAGGTAGATATCTCAAAAATAGCAGCAGCACTGTCACTACACTACATACTTACCTTTATAACATTTTCCGCCTTTTATTTTTATTCTTTTTCGCACGTCGCACCGTTGCATTTATGACATTATTCACAGTAAACTTTGCTCATCGTCGACGTTGATTTCATCTTTCACGAAACAATAAAGTTCTCATTTCATAGCAACTGCCGCCTTTTCTCTTTTACCCCACAGTTTTAACTTTGATGCTGCACTTTCCTGCACTTTTTTTCTATTTTCATTTTTTTTTTAATCTTTCTAACGCTGCGTGCATTTGTGTGTGCCGTTACAACAATTTGCATAGCAATTGAGTTTGCAGCTGCTACTTAAAAACTTAAAAAAGTTAGTTGGCAGTCTAATGTGTTGGAAAGTGAGTGGAAAGGCAAAAGTTCGAAGGCAGCAAAATCGTTTGGCATAACTACAAAATTAAATAGCGATTTTTATTTTATGATATTGTGTAGTGAGTAAGTAAAGTGAGTGTATTACCAGCCATATTGGATTTCAATAGTTGTGGACGTTGTTATTACAGCAAAGTCGACAGCAGTAATTTTTGCGTAAGTCAATTCTAGAGAAAGTTATGAGATTAAAAGTTGGGAGATTTTAGGATTTCAACATCATCAGTATGAGTATTAAGAGCTAATACAGTTATATTTCGGAAGTTTGGAAATGAATGTATAGATATTTCGATAAGGTTTTGCATTTATTCTTAATATTCTTCACCAGAAATTATAAGGAACTCGTGTGGACGATGGGCCAGCGATTTATAAGGGGTAAATGAGTGGGAAGAAAATATTTAAAATAATTTCCGAAAGCCGGATTATTTCTTTTACTAAAAGCAAAAAAATGTCTGATTCTTTCCTTAAATTTTTAGCTAGGGGAGAGAGAGCGTTCGCTCCGACCAGAGACCGCCAGCAACTTACTTACTATTGAACAAATTTACTTTACAAGCTGGTTAAAAATTACATAGATACACTAATTTGGCGAACGAAATGATAGTCATGAGTACTCCTTAAGAAGCTCTTTAACAGAAGAAGTAAGAACTATGCCCAAAATTGCACCTCTACCATGACCCTTGACTGCGAATACCGATCGGTTGAGGGGGTTTACATTTATTTACAGCATCGCTTGGAAGTACTTATATGTGCAAGCAGTCCCTGGTTTTGCAATTATAAAAAATTAGACGAAGGAAAGGAGGAAGTAAAACGCACTGCTTTGAAGTTGCTCTCCCTAGTCACTTCGTAAGTCACATACACTTGCCTNAATTATAAGGAACTCGTGTGGACGATGGGCCAGCGATTTATAAGGGGGTTTACTAAAAGCAAAAAAATGTCTGATTCTTTCCTTAAATTTTTAGCTAGGGGAGAGAGAGTGTTCGCTCCGACCAGAGACCGCCAGCAACTTACTTACTATTGAACAAATTTACTTTACAAGCTGGTTGAAAATTACATAGATACGCTAATTTGGCGAACGAAATGATAGTCATGAGTACTCCTTAAGAAGCTCTTTAACAGAAGAAGTAAGAACTAGGCCCAAAATTGCACCTCTACCATGACCCTTGACTGTGAATACCGATCGGTTGAGGGGGTTTACATTTATTTACAGCATCGCTTGGAAGTACTTATATGTGCAAGCAGTCCCTGGTTTTGCAATTATAAAAAATTAGACGAAGGAAAGGAGGAAGTAAAACGCACTGCTTTGAAGTTGCTCTCCCTAGTCACTTCGTAAGTCACATACACTTGCCTGTCAAGCTGCTGGAACTCCCCGCGCTTCAGGCATTCACCGACCGGCTTCGTTTAGAAATACTGCAGAGAACCGGAAACTACAATTCGTAGTTAACGGAGAGATTCTTGGAAAAAAATGGTTGATACATACGCCTCTCCGACTTCCTCATTTAGGGTAAGCCCGCCGTTCGCCTCAACAGGCATTGAAAGTCCTGAATTTGTATGGGGTCCAAGTAAGTTAGGTACACAAATAAGCATTAAAATAGTGTGCAGACTCATCATGCGGCCCACAGACCAACCACATTCTTAACGAGTCTTTAAAAATTCGATCATTATCTTTGAGGCATTGCGCCTGCATACTATACATTTATCGTCGATTACGGATGACAAACGAACTTCAGTTGGGTTGTGGTATTATTGGCAATTGCATTTTTGTGGTCGCTAAAAAACATTTGATTTGAGAAAATTTATTTACTTTTTCAACTGTTCCTTCAGCTTATTTACACTTAAGTCTTGGTTGCTGGTACTTCAAAATTCTACAATCTTCAAATTTATATCACTTAACTAGTGTACAATGGCGTTGCCCATCGGCAACCCAACTTAGATTGCGTTGCAATCCATTAATTGCAGAGAACGAACATTTACACTGAAGATGGCACAACGCCGAAACCGGTTAGTCTTCAACCCAAATTTTACAAGGGATGACGTTCCACATTACATTATTTTTAATGGCAGCTTAGGTTAGGTCTGGATACTTTGATTCACAAAGTGGGCTATTTTATGACGTCTGATACTGTTTGAAAGTTTAAAAAGTAGCAGGATGAGATTCAGCGAAGTTTTCATAGTAAATCCCACTTCTGATCTTGTCGCTATTGCTGCGAGCGGTCCAGCTGTAAAGACGATTCAAACTTAAAACACTTGGATTCGGTCCGTGAAGTCACTTCAGCCACTGCTTCGTGAATTCCAGTGAAAAATACACAACGCCCTTCTATTTATGTTCACTAAAACCTTTCGAGAATTAAGGCGTTAATTAACTTATGATCACGTCATATTCACACAGCACTTTTGGGCTCAACTTCGGCACTCGAAGTCACATTCTGCCATTGAAAATTTGATAATTCAATTTCACACAACACTCATTTTGGCATTATCAATTCGCCCAATTATACTTAATTGCGAATTCTCTTTTACAGGCTGCTAAATTCAGCAATACACGCATACGTTCTTAATTGAAAAACAAAAAATGCAAATGTCACTTGCAGTTTCAGCACATAAACGGAAATTGACATGCGAATGACCGGCTGCTGAAATTTATGGATGTACATTAGTAGAACCAGCGTGCAAGCGACGACGAGTGTAGCATACGCTACACGTTGACAATTAGTGCTGTCAGTTTAAATGACATTTTACTGCATGCATACCAATTGATGTTGTTAATTAAAAGCGACGATAAGTAAACGTGACTATATAATCCGGTAGTGATGAGTAGGGAAATTAAGTTGCGCAGGGTGAAGCAAATGGAGCGCTAGAACGAAAGAGGTCATGCAACGAATTTGAATTAAAATTGCATCAACATAGTACGTCGCATTTAATTTTGTTGCCATTTTGGAATTCTGCTTCAACGCCCGAAATTCAACGAATACCGCCAAGTTGGAAGGAAAAAAACTCTTCACGGCTGTTAATAACATTTTAGCCGGTTCGAGCTTTGCCCGGGAACTCAGGCAACTAATGGTGAGTGGTTGCTGCTTAGTAATTGTCCCAAGGCTGAAATTTCACGATATTTCCCCCCATTTTTCATTGCGCACTTAGACGAGAAACACTACAGTTGGTGTGGATGACGCTACCAGTGCGGAACCGCAACAGCAGCAACAGCTTGAGACCACAGCTTATGTCGAGCAGCATACAGGCTACAGAGACGACGCAACAGGCGACAACACCGCAGCGGCGATAGCAACAACAGCGCAATCACAACACCAACTACGCCGAAACCCACAATCAAGCAATATGGCTGCCACGGAAGCCGACTCGGAGTCTACAAAAACAGCAAAAACACCAACACGACATCGCAGTCGACGTCTGACCGACTTGGTATTGGATCCTAGCTGTAATCGATTAGCATGCGAGCAGTCGGTGGAGCAGCGCGATGCACTGACGGCAGAGGATTATGACGATGCGGTAGTTGCTGATGAAGATGAAGATGACGACTTCGAAGATGGCGTGGATGGCGAGAATGATTATTACGATGAATCGCCGGTGCAGCGTAGCGCTAGATTTCTGCAACCACGCAAACAGCAACAAAGAAAAAGTGAACTGCAAGAAGAGGCAGCGAACACAGCGAAATGTGGCGGAAAGCGACCAAAGCGGCGTATTAAGACGACTCGNGAAGTAAAAAATCAAATACATATAAAAAAATCAAATACATATAAAAAAAAAATAAAAATCAAATTTAAAAAAAAAAATTTTTGGCTCCTAATAAAATTTGTATTTTTTATCGAAAAAGGTACCAAATTTAAAACGACGATTATAAAGAGAATGAAAAATTTTAAGATTCCTAAAATTTTAATAATCAATATATATATATTTGAAAGATGAAATCAAAAATTAAGCTTTTATTAAAAAATAAATAGAAATAATATTAAACAATTTCTAGTATACTCTGTACTTAAAAACGCAAACGCAATATATTAAGGCAAAGACTAAATTTTAAGATGGCGTATGTACATATTAAATCAAAATTAGCGATTCTTTGTTAAACAAATTTCTTAAGTTGAATTGTAAATTTTTTACCAAATAAAATTTTTCGTTATAAATAAAATTTAAGTTTTAATTTAATTATTTGGCTGTAATAATGTTGTTATACAAAATAACTAGCTGTCATACATACAAGTTGAACTTTCATTAAAGAAATTGCCTATATTAAATAGAATTAGTCTAGACTTCAAATTTTTAGACATATCCATTTTCACATTTAGTAGAATCGACATTAGTTAGTTTATCTTTAGTATAAACAACTAAAATTTTCCAAAAAAAAATCATAGAACATCACATATTTTTACTTGAATATCTAATACATACATACATAACTTTAAATTAATATTTTACCTAAATGGCGAAAAATAAATTTCCAATACCTCTTCCAAACTTTTACATGCAATACAATTTCAGCTGAATTCTTACAGTTCTTAACAATAATGTAATTAGCATAAAATTTCCTACTTAAGTTTAAAAATAGCCAGAGTACAGTAGATATATGTATTTAAGCAATGACTTCAAAAAACTTAACTAAATACCAAAACTTCCCAATAAATATTATACATTTAAAGCAGTTATTGTGAAACAAATGCTTTTAAGAAACGCCAAATAATATGTCAAGCATAATGTCAAAAGTCTTATATATATAATATGAATATGAAATCAAAAAATTATAAATAAAATTAAATTTAATCGTAAATATTTACTTTAAATTATTCAATAAAAATTTCGAATCTTGCGCAAAAAAATAGTACATTTTATTTACACAAAAAAAAGAGGAATTTTTAGCTAAAATGCGAAAAAGGAAAAGAGTTTTCGGAATCTTAAAGAAAATCACCACTGTAATAATAATAATAGATTGGCGCTTACACATATGTTAGTGTTTGGCCGAGCTTCTCCTCCGGTTTGTGGCGTGCGCCTTGATGTTGTCACACAAAGCGGAGGGACCTACAGTTTTACGCCGACTCCGAACGGCGATTGTATTTTTATGAGAAGCTGTTTTTCATGGCAGAAATACACTCGGAGGTTTGCCATTGCCTGCCGAGGGATGACCGCTGTTAAGAAAAAACCTTTAAACCTAGCGTAATATGGTAGACAGACGGAGAAAATTAATTTGAATTAATAAGCATAAATGCAAATTAAAATTTTACCCTTACAGACGGCAGTAATGCGAATAAACCAGCCGCAAGGTCGTGGGTTCGAGTCCCACGGTCAGTATACTTTTTTTATTTCTTTTTCATTCTTTTTTTATAAGTTCTATATTTTTTTTACGTTACTTTCAGTTAGTTGTTGTTGAATTTTTAACAAAATTCATCTCTAAAAATTAAAATAACTAATAGTAAAATAAGAAATGTGATATAAAATAAGGCAAATGAAAATAAAATAAAGTAAAATTAAATATATAAATAAAATAAAATAAAAAAATATAAAATAAATAATAACAACAAAATTTTTTTCGCAATCGCTCCAACCGAGTATCGAACCTGGCAGCTACAGGCTTGTAGCTCGCAACTCTCACCACTCGGCTACCGCGTACGCGAAACTCGACTGCTTCGTTTGCTTACTTGTACAAAAGACAACGACTGGCCGTTTTTACCAGTGTTGTCATCGAAATTCCCCGGATCCGAGTTAATTCCCAAAAATTTCGTGCATTTGTTTGGCTGCTTATGCTCATTTTAAAGAGGAAAATGCATGAGTTAAAGCAAATTAAGGCTGGTTATGCAAATAATCGAGCCCGTTTGTCTACCGTATAAGGCGATGTAATCGATGAATCAGTTGTCGCACAGCGCTAGCAGACAGCAGGGTGCGCGCCCATCACATTTTTATTGCGTCAATTCAAAACTGCATAGCTCTTGTGGAATTTCTTGAAAGCAGACAAAATGAATGAAATAAAAAGAAAAAATATCGAGAAATAGTAAAATAAAAAGAAGAAAGGTGAAGGGAAGCAAGTAAGTAAAGAACGAACATAGTTCTCGTTCTCGATCGCACGTCAACAGCACTTGAGACAAATGCTGCAGTAGCTGGTTGTTTATAAATTGAAAAAGAGAGTCACCGTCTACATTACTGGGAACAATCCGCCCTTATTTCCAGTCGGAAACTATCGGCAAAAATAACTTGTATGCGTACTTCCAATAACCTAAAGATTACACTGACAACCACGTGATTGAAAAGCTATGTGGTGAACGGAACGTTTTGCATATACATAATATGTACAGTTGAATCTCGCAAAAAAGTGCATGGGACCATTCAAAAGATATACATTTTCTCTTGCATAAGGAAAAAACGTCATTTAGGAAAACATGAAAGCGAAGGCAAGGAAGCCCGCCAACAAAGGAGACTCTTATCGCCCGATAACTCTCCTTTCCCCGGACGCGAAGACACTAGAGGCCCTGCTACTCCCACACTTCACCTGCCACCTCACCCCAGCGAAGCATAAGCATGGATTCCGTAAAGTGCATAGCACAACAACAGCACTTAACGCCATAAACACCCTAATAACTCGTGGCCTAAATCGAAACCGCCCCTGTGAGAGAGCGGTCCTAGTAGCGCTGGACTTGTCAAAGGCGTTTGACACCGTCTGCCATTCCACGCTGCTAGAAGACATTGAGGCCTCCTCACTTCCACAGGGACTGAAGCAATTGTGGGCGAACTATATGAGTGGTCGAAAGTCGTCGGTAATCTTCCGAGATCAAACCTCGAAACCAAGAAGAATTAAACAAGGGGTACCAGGCGGTGGTGTTCTCTCCCCCTTATTATTTAACTTCTACATCACGAAGATTCCCCAGCCACCTGAGGGAGTTTCCCTGATCTCATACGCTGACGATTGCTCGATTTTGGCGTCCGGGAATTTCCTGATGACCTCTGCTCAAAAGTTAACGACTATCTCTCCAACCTTTCTCGCTTCTTCACTGCAAGGACCTGGACGAAGGAGGTCAGGATAGAATTAGGTATACACGTCGATGGCACACCAATACCGACTGTAAACAACCCGAACATTTTAGGGGTCACCTTCGATAGCCTGCTCTCCTACTGCACGCACACAACCGCAGTTGTCAATAAAGTACAGAGCCGCAACAAGGTCCTCAAGTCGCTCGCCGCCAGCACTTGGGGCAAAGACAAAGAAACGTTGCTGGCAACAACAAGGCAATTGGCCGGCCGGTTCTAAACTATGCTGCGCCAGTTTGGACGCCGGGGACTAGTTGGACGCAGTGGACGAAGCTACAGACTTGTCAGAACGCCGCACTCCGGACAGCGACTGGGTGCCTTCTGATAACACCTAAGCACCACCTACACAGCGAGGCCCAAGTGCTCCCCGTAAGGGAACACAACAAAATGCTTTGTAAGCAATTTCTGGTGGGGTGCCACAAAAGCGAACACCCAAACAGACCTCTGCTTCAGGAGGAGCCTCCGCCCAGGCACGTCAGGGGACACCTATTCGTATACAAGGACGCAGTTCAGCAATACGTAGACCAACCACTGGACCCGACGACATACAGACGAGCCATTAACGACATCCATAGAGAGTCAGTCACCACTTACCTTGACTCTCGACCTATGAAGGCCGTAATTGGAGCCCAATCACCACCCGTAGATGAGACGGAGCTTCCATTTCCAAGAGAGACCCGCGTTACCCTGGCTCAATTACGGTTTGGATACTGTAGCCGCCTCAACAGCTACTTGTCCAGACTCGACCCCAATATCCCAAATGAGTGCCCGGCATGTGGAGAATCCCCTCACGACACCAACCACCTCTTCACATGCCAGCTCAATCCGACTCAACTAACACCCCTCCCCCTCTGCTCCGACCCCATTGAAACAGCTCATTTCCTGGGCCTCTCGCTAGTTGAGCTTGACGAAAATGATTGAATGTTAACCCGAAATAGGCTGGGCTTAGTAGTGCCGCTACAACAACAACAACAACAACTTGTTAAGGATATTCCACGCAGAATGATGATTATAAAAAAATATGTCACGTGCTGAAATAATTTAGTGTTTACTGTCTGTTTTTGTAAGTATTCACTAGTTAAATTTGCGAAGGCAAGCAAATGTGAAATTTGTCGGCGCAAAAACGAAAGAAGAGGTATAGTGCTGCAAAAAAATGCCTTCTCTCCTTGATAGTAAAAGAAAAAAACACACACAAGAGAAATCGTTTAAAAAGCTTTACTGATACGCAACACTAAACCTACCCTAAATGATTGTCACCTAATGTCTCTGGAAAAATGGTTTGCACTTACGACACTTTAAACTAACTACTTACACAAAACTCATACCTGCAATTTATCGTGCTCAAACAACAAAGTCATTCGAATTGAGCGAAGACATAATCCAGCAATAATGAGCAGTGAACAAAGTAAACTCCTTCACACACACTTTTAACCTTTATAATGTCTTTTCAGCAGCGCTGTTAGTGAAGTTCAAAAAGGGCAATGCATGTTAGCTATAAAGGAACCGGAACCTGCCGGCGATATGTTAAAAAAAGAAATGTGTGTCAAAGTCTCAAGGTGGCGGAGGTCAGCAAAGCTACTCCTTATATACATACATACTAATGATATATACTCGTATTTGCCATATTTTTAGGCAAGCATNGGCGGAGGTCAGCAAAGCTACTCCTTATATAAATACATACTAATGATATATACTCGTATTTGCCATATTTTTAGGCAAGCATTTAGGCGAGAGATATCCAAGAAAATTAAAGCAAATTACTTCACACGCAAGAGGATTTTGAATTTGTTTGCCATACGCTGTTTATTTTGAGGGCAAGGCAAATCGCTGTCCACAAACATACATATGTACGAGTAGTTGATTGTGATTTAATGTGGGGCAAGTCAACAAATAGATCAACGAGAATGTGTGTTTTTAGTAGCGCATAATTGTGCGTGTGTGTATGTGTGTGTGTGCGTGGCTGTCATTGATAAATAGTGGTGCAAATAAACATATGTATGCATTTATTGA